TCTCTAGCACTAATTTTAAAATCCTAAGTGAAATTCCTGAGATAATAGCATGCATGCCTCTATAACTTTAAAAAATAAGTTGCCCTAATTGTAGTCTAAATGAGCAATGAAAGGGAAGTAATTTATAATACAGCATGTGTCTCAAGCTGACAGTGCTTTGGCAAGACTACTCTAGGAGGAAAAGACACCAGGGAGCTGGTTTTGAGGAAGCCACTGCCTCAGGCCCTGGGCAAAGGTGGGTGTCTGTGCTGCTACCACTGCAAGGCCAGGCTCGCTGTCTGAAAGGCCTCCCCGCCATGCTGTTGGGTTTGTCCCAACCCTGGGCACTGTCATGCTCACCCGTGGACCTTCCCATCTAGCACTCCTGCGCATGACTCTTCCTCCCCATCCTGTATACTTGAGTCATACCGCTGAAGCCAGACCTAGGAAATTAGAACAAATCCCCTTGTTCTGCACATTCAAGACCATAGCAAAGGCTTCCATTGAGACCCTGGATCTTGCAGCTGAACAGACTCATCACGTGCCCTGCCTGGCCTAACAGCTTTCCCTAACTGCCAGTTTGCAGCAAATGGTGACTCTAGTTGAGCAGTCCTTGGCTCGTTACGCAGGAGGTGGCTGGAACCAAGTGCTAATTATCTCAGAAGGTAAGGGGCACACAGAGGCACATTCATGTGCAGACACACAAACACGGCTCCAGTAAGCACTGCATCTGGGGTGTGAGGGTCCATGGGTGGCAGGGCACGGTTCTGCCTCTCTGTCTCCCAGGAAAGGAGGGGCCAAGCAGAACTTGGAAAGAATGTTATGATGGGGACAGCTTTGCTCTGTCCATTCTCCTCTACCCATCCACCCAGGCACCAGCAAATAGCTGCATTTGCGCTCAGGGCAGCACATCAAGCAACACCTGTTGTGTTCTGCCTCGAGCCGTCTCAGGACTTGAAGAGGAGTTTTGCTTCTTGTTTTTTTTCTTAAAGTATTGGGGATTGAAGCCATGCAGTTTTGCTGAGCTACTCCCCAGATCTTTTTTTTTTTTTTTTGAGACAGGGTCTCAATAAGTCACTGAGTTGCCCAGGCTGGGCTTCAACTTGCAATTGCCCTGTCTTAGCCTCCTAAGTCTTGGGATTACAGGTTTACACCACCATGCCCAGCTGGGGTTTTGCTTCTACCTAGAGATAATTATGTCTCAATTTATCCATCAAGTATGACTGGAATTGTTTCTGGTGTGTCATCCCATGCTCTTGGGTGAAGAGAGCCCCCGTTGTAGGATGCAGGCCAACAAAGAGTTCTTGGAAGTTCTGGCAAGGACAAGTGTGCCTCCTGTCATGAGAAGATGGTCCAGGAGCTCCAGATTGGCATCTACTTGGAGGGGAGGGGCTTGAAACAAGGTCTCACTATGTCGTTTAGGCTGGTCTTGAACTTGCTATGTAGCTGGTGGCCTCAAACTTGCAAAAACCTTCCTGCCTCAGCCACCCACTTGTTGGGATTACAGGTGTGTGTCACCACACCCTGCTAGAATGGAATCTTTTGTTGGAGATCAGCTGGGGTTCTGCAGAAGCAGTTGCAGAGCTCGGCACTGCTCCTTCAGACTGCAGTTGGAATTATAATTTTGCTGTAGTTCTCAGGGTAGAGAGCTGTGTCAGGACTGCCCAGAAGCTTTGTGAACGGATGGTACTGCAGTGTTTAAGACTGTTGGTTCCAAGTATTACTGTCAACCAGAAGGAGGCATTTATTATAAGGGTGCAGGGATAATGCATAGAACCAAAGGGCAGAAATGTGACTGACCTACAGGGAGGAGCTGAGGCCTATTCAGCATAGATCCTAATGCTCAAATTACTGGTTATCTAACCTGTTGCACGTTGGAATTTTGTAGGGGGCTTTTAAAAGTACTGATATCTGAGGCCAGGCATTTAGCTCAGTGGTGCCGTGCCTGCCTTGCAAGTGCAAGGTCCTGAGTTCTATCCCTGGTACCACTAAAAAAAAAAAAAAAAAGTGTTAGTACTGGTATCTATGCTCTACCTTAGATCTGGTTTAATTAGTTTGGGGCTCAGCCTGGGCACTGTGGGTTTTCAAAGCTCCTCAAATAATTTTCCAGCAAATTTTAAGAACCATTATCCTAATTTGTCCTCTGTCCTTCTGTCTCATTGTCCCCTATCTTTTACCAATACCAATCCTCCTTTCTTGTGCTCAGGCTGCCCATTCAGCAGCAGGAAATTACCAGCAGGTGGGTGTTCATGAAGGTCACATTGATACAGGGTCTCTGACCTCTGCCAGAGTCTCAGCAGAGCCCTAAAATCGTGGTACATTTTCCCAGGCCACTCATTTTGCAAGTTAATGACAATTCCAAGCCTTCACTTCTTTGTTGGCAGGTCCCTCAGCTCCCCCTGACTCTGCTCAAATCCACCCTCTCTGCCTGAGCTCCCCACCTGAGCTGTCCTGACAAAGGCTCACACAGTCCCAGCCTTTGCCCCTTCAGACTCCTGGACCAAGGAGCCCCTGGGTGCTGACTCACAGGGGAGAAGCTTGTTCACTCACAATGGCTAGAGTCATACCCTAAGGCACTCCCTGTAGCTGCTTTCAGGGGTCATGTAAAGTCAGCTGGATGTGTCGGTCAGACTTTGACCCACGAGAGACAGGTGACAGTGTTGTGGAAGGAACTGGTAAATGACACACGGAGATGCAAGAGTGAGTGGGTAAAATAAAAACATTTAGTTTGCTAGCAAAGGGTTGGCCTGCACCAAGGGCTATGCTAAATGACTGACCCTGGGTTGGGTTGCAATCTTTTATAGGAGTTTTACAATCATGACCTCATTTTAGGTAGTTCAATAAAACATTCCAGTTCTCTTAGTTTCCATCACAAATTATGGTCACAAGACAGTTCAGTTTTAACCCAAATATAGCATTCTCTTTTAGGATGTTTATCTTTAGCTATTCTAGCCTACAAGAGTGGCGGGGCGGTCAGGGTTAGGAAAGCAGGACTGGTGACACAGAAAGTTTAGGGCTTAAGGCATGGCAACTGTTATCTCAGTTTGAACATCTGGTCTCACTATGGGGATGCCTGTTAATCTCGTAACATTTTAAACTGGGGCTACATGCCTTCAGGCTTTAATGGTGAAACCTCTGTTATTTTTGTCCTAAGAAACAAGGCAAAGCAAATTACAGAAGTGAAACACAGCAGTTATTCTATATTTCCTTAACATTTTGTAGATTTCAGACTATTTACACAAGTTCTATCAACAGGACAGAGCCAACAGCTTGTTTCTGCACACAGTAGTTTCTGTTTCTTTGGCGCACTCTTGCAAGATGAAGCAACCAGCTGTGTTCCCTGAAACTCTGGCCAACTTGCTCCCCCCTTAAAAGTGTTCTTCTCATGTCCTGCTTTACTTTAGTGTCTCTTCCTTTCCCTGAGATTGTACATGTTCCCAACAAAGTTAAAAAAAGCACTATTTTCTCAAGTTCTCATTTCAAAGGAACCAAGGTAAGATATTCTTTAAATGTTAAGACAGTTTGCCCCAGCAACTCATAGAAAAAACATAGGCCAGAAACAGGGCCACTGACTGTCCTGGTTTGCTTGGCACTAAGAGACTTTCCTGGGTTTGCCTGGACTGGGACTTTCCATACTAATATGAACCATGAAAGTCTCAAGCAATCCAGAATCAGCTGCTGAACCTAGCCATAAGTCAGGAGCACTCCCCACCTCTCACCTGCAGATTATACTAGCCCTTGCCACCACCCCTCTTCCTTCTTACTTCTCAGGGCAAATGTTCTGTATTCTCTAACTATTAGAAAATGAGCTGGTATACTGCTAGTCCCCCAGCACATCTAACTGACTCATCTGCTCATTACACACTATGCTGGGTGTCTTTCTGTACTAGGCTGGGTGCCAGGTCCTGGAAAGAAGAGGACAAATGAAAGCTGGCAGAGTGACATCACAGAGGATGGTGGTAGAATGGCACTGCTTAAACACTGGGAATAAAATAAAATACGTGTTTCAGTTTGACAGATCAGGACTGATACTTAAAAGCTCCTACACTAGCAAGGCAAGGCAGGTTAAGGTCACTGGTACTCTGGAGACTTAATTCCCCAAGTGCAGGCACCAGTAGAGCCAGAGACAGTAGAGAAACCTAGTAAAGCCAGGGACAGTAGAGAAACCAGCAAGTGCCCTGAAAAAGAGGACTTTGGGGGCTGGGGATTTAGCTCAGTGGCACCAAACTTGACTCGCAAGCGCAGAGTCCTGAACTCAATCCCCGGTACTGAAGGAAAAAAATGAAAATGAGGGCGTTTGTTTTTAATGGTTGCCCGGAAGACACAATGAGATAATGCGTCCACACCTCTAAAGTGATTCTGAAAGTTCTATGCATGATCATCTCACCTTTGGGAGGATGAAAAAAGAGGAAGTAAACATGTCTGTGTAGCGATTTCCAGAATAAGGGAGCGAGTGATCTCTAAAGATGGTGTGCCTCCCGGGATTCCTGCGCCTTTGTCGTCCCCTCGCCTAGCCTCTGCAGTTGTCAGAGTCATGGGATGCGAGAGGGAAAGCTAGCGAGCGCCCGCGTGTGCCTTCACAGACTAGCCTTCTCGCTAGGGGCGGCTCCGCCCCCGCCCGCCGCTTCCGCGCACGTGACTGTGCGTCACGCTCGGCTGCGTTTTCCGTGGCCGGTTGCTCCGGCTCCGGCTGCGGCTCCAGCCTTGGGGCCAGCGGTGGCCGGGCCAGGGGCGGGCAGCGGAGATGGAACCGTGAGTGGCAGGCGGGCGGAGTCAGGGGTCCTGGGCGCGGAGTTGGGGGGGTCCCACGCCCGGAGAGGTCGGGGTGACCAGCGGGGGCCTGTCCCGGCGAACCGAGAAGGTGGCTCCCGCTGAGGTTGGACCTGCAGTCCAGGCCGGTGGCGCCTGGTGACGTGGGCGCGCGGGCCGGCAGGGCTTCGGTGGATTTCTGGGATGTTGAGTTTTATGAGTTGTACAATCTGCTGACTTTGGGTTTGAGTCCCTCCGTGAAGTACAGAAGCTTTAATGAGGAAAAACCTTGCTAGGTACCCATGGACACTGTCCCCAAAGCAGCCTTTGGACCCTGCACGTCACCCGAGTGTCCCCCAGGGGCCTTGTGGAAAGGAGATTAAAAGGAGGGCTCTCGCCTAGTGGAGTTACAGGAGGTTTATCCTGAGGAGAGCTCTAATTTTCGAGGTTTGTGGAGCGGGCACGTACAGGACTGTGAGCAACTCAGGTATGGGGTTCTAGAGACAGAAAAACCGTGTGGGGTGGGGATTGCTTCAGTTTAAGCGCCTGTGGTAGAAAGATACTTTCCCCTGCTTCTGCTTCCTTGGAAGTTTGGCTTTGGACACTCACCATGATGGAGAACTAACTCTCAAAATGTCAGACCTGCAAGTGGATATTTTGAAGATCGTTCTTTTATTTAAAAGAAATAGTAACTCCAGGGACAGCCTTCTGGTGCGTTTTTGTCACCTCTGGGAACTCTGAGGGACCTGTGCCTTGGTGGGTTTGTGGCCCATGTGGAGTGGCACCTGCTGCATATTTCAGGGGTCCTCTCACAGACGACCTCTTCCTTCTGCACAGCTGTGAGATTCCTGTCCTAATCCCCTTCCTATGGGAAACAGTGTGTGTGGGGTTTGGGTCTTGGCCTGTACTGCAACTGGGGGCTCCTGCTTACACTGTCTGTTACAGCACGTGGCGCTAAGTGGAAGGGAAGCCACCACTGAGGAAAGGTTTTAGGGAAGAACTGCAGCCCAAAGCTTGAATGGAGCACTTGTCACCCACAGTGGTTATCCCAGGTTACCCTCCCTCTGGATCTGTCAGGCAGAAGGTTGGGGTGTGGATATCTGGATGTCAGATAGCCACTGCGGTCCAGGGTTCAGAGTGGCCCGATCTGGGAATTACAGAGAGGTTTTTGGCAGCACAGCAAATAAAACCTTACTGAATGTCAAGCCTGAGCGTCTGAAATTGTGTCCTGGATTTCAGTACCTGATAGGGTCAGGGCGATCTTGGAGAGAAGAAGGGCTAGAGTGGGAAGGACAGCCTGGGAAGGAAGGGGTGGGAGGGAAGAGGGCTGCCTGGAGGAGCAAAGGCAGCCGGCCCACACTTAGGAGCTGCAGATGCTGGCCTGGTGTCCTCCCTGCTCACATTTGGCCCAGGCTACGCTTTTAAGAAAGGCAGGAGAGATTGTCATCAAAATCAGCCAGAAGAAAGTGTGCCGAATTTTTATAGCTTTACCCTGGAGTTTCCTGCCACCTCCATCCCTTTTGTGTTACTGCCAGGAATAGGAGAGATGCCAAGGCTACAGATCAGTGTGGGGCACAATCTTGAATAGTTGTCACCTTGGCTTCCTGTTTGAGCTCTGGGGCCCATTGCAACTGAGACTTTCTCAATGTTCATTGGTTACTTTGGTTCTTACTGTGGCATTACTCTGCATGTGTCGGTAAGTTGGCATTGTATGTTTCTTGCTAGGCACTGCAAGTCATTTTTTAAGTGCATTTCACATGTCTCTTATTCTGGGGGCATTTTTGTGCAGAAGAATGTTAGACCACTCTTTTGCTAGCAACAAATTAATCAAGGTGGAGCCTGCTGTGGCTTCAGGGCCCCCTGGGTGCCTGAGAGGCCACCAGGCCTGTGTCAGTAGTCTGTTCCTGCAATCTTAGAGTTATTTAGGGTTATGAGTTTACGTAGGATTGCGTGTCTTTGAATGTGTATGTATATATATTTTTTTCACAAAATATGGAGAATGCTTACATTTAAAAGTTTTTTTTAACCGTAAAAGACATACTGTTAATCCCTCTCAGAATACCTCCCCTCACTTCAAACGCATTTGTCTCATTATTCTTGCCACCTTCTGAAGCAGTTCTGGGAGTCTTTTTTTTTGGGGAGTGCTGTTGTGGCTGCTGTGATATACTGCTCTGATTCAAAATGTTTATCTTTCATGGTCATTTTGGCTTTTGGGAAGAGCCACAAATTGCACTGTGGCAGATCTGGTTTTTAAGGTAGATGAAGACACATCATAATGTTTTTATTTGACAGAACTTGCTGTAAATGTTTTTAATTGACTCAGGACATCAAGGCATGAAAAGACATGAAAGATGACTTTAGCACTGCTCCAGAAAGAGACAAGAATGATGAGATAAGTGGATTTGAAGCAAGAGGGAGTATTTCAAGGGTGGTTACTGATGTCTTTTACTGTAATATATTTTTTAAATTTTTACTTAAATATTCACTGTCTTTGTTCACACCTCCATATTTATATATTCATATTCATATATTTCTGAACCAAAATGATCTCCAGAAATAAGAGAACTGCTTGAGGGTTGACTGTGCACCAAGTACTGCTGTATCACTGCACATCATTTCATGAAAACCTCACTGTCACTCTCCTGTGAGGAAGACTCGCTTATCCCAGTTTTACAGGAAACTGAGGTGCGGAGGAGTGGAGTAAGTTTCTCAGGGTCAAGCTATAAATCTCAGCTGAGAAACCCAGGTGGTTGGGCTCTAGGGCCTATGCTCTTAGCCTCTTGTTCACTATCCTCTACAGCCACACAAGATAAAGGATTCTTCCTCACAGCAGCCACAGACAGTGGGGTTCATGTTTTGTGAGTGAAACAGTTCAGGAATCTGAGGTCCTAGAGGTAGGGTGGTGTGCCCCAGGTTACCTGCAGGGCTATAGCGGAGAGGGCTCCCTACCTGGCTTCAGGACCTTCAGGCTGCAATGCCTGGTGCTGGGTTGGAGCCATGCCCAGTACTTCCTGTGTGGAGATCAGGTGTACTGACTGACACCTGGCCTGCTTCCGTGTTCCTTTTGGCCTGGGCAGCTCCTAAATGTGAGCCATTGAACTTGTGGCTTGGAAAGGATACAGATGAGCTTACACTTCCTAAAGCCCTGAAACATTGCTTGTTACGATATGTGTGGCTTGTTGGACTTTGAGTGTTCACATAATGTCATCTTTGAAGCCTAATAAATTCTTGAGTAGCTAAAGAAATTATTAGTATTATATTCACTTTGGCTGATTGAAATTTCAGACTTATTTTGTTCTTCCCCTCTGAAGTTTCTTCTTAGAACTCATTAATGGTAGGATATTTTAAAAGCTAAGATTTTGGTGTACAGGAGCGTGTTAGTTGGTGTGCACTGGTGAATTCCAGGTCCACCTCCACCTCCTGCTGCCTGGGACCCCATGTCAGCCTTTATCCCCATATGTGAAATGGCCTGGTAATACCTTCCCCCACTCAAGCCCTTAGTGTGATAGCAAGTAGTGTGCATGAAGGAATACCTTTCCTTCCTTAGCTGGAGGTAGAGGAGAGTGCACTTTATACAGTGGGTCTTCAGAGCTATTGTGCCAGTGAAGACATTTTTCACAAATAAGAAATGGAGAAGCTGGGTACTTGTGGTTCCTGCTACTTAGGAGGCTGAGGCAAGAAGATTGCTTGAGCCTAGGTGTTTGAGGCCAGCCTGGGCAACATAGTGAGACCCCTCCTGCCATACTACAGGGAGGAGAAAAAGTACAACCATGACTTCTAAAAACCAACATGATTGAGTTTTTGCTACCTTCTCACCACTGTTTGAAACACTTTTTTTAAAAAAAAATTCATTACACTTCCCAGCTTCCCCATAAATATTCTGCTGATCTTTTTGCAGGAAACTGAGGCCCTGGAAGGGTGTTTAGATTGCTCACATCCATAGCATTAGAAATTGGGGGAGCCAAACTGATAGCCTGAAAGGCCAGTGCCTGAACCAAAGACGATACTGTTTTTACTTCAGTTGTGACCAGAATAAAATCCTCACTAAAATGTAAGAACAGGCTCAGAGATTTAAAATCTTTTTCCAGCACTTAGATCCTAATTACTAAATTCTAAAGTGGGAAATCTGGATATCAGTTTAACAAAGTTGGGAATACTGGAGTATGCTCAGTCATATCTACCTACTAAATTGGTAGCATGATGAGGTGAAATAAAATATATCTTGTTCACAAGCCTTCCACATCCTGGGTGATATCACCTGTGTAGGACTGAAGTGGTCAGGGTGCTGGCTTCAGGTACTGGTTGGGGTATAGGTGGCAATTGCTGGTGCTTGCTTTCTCCTCTTATTAAAGTCAATACCCTGAGATGTTTTCTCGAATTCCCCACCCACCCCACTCCTGCCCAACTTGTAGTCTTTCTGTCCACAGGCCCATGTGTGCATGGCCAGGGCTCCCACCCTCTTCTTGTGGCTGTTTTTCTTTTTTTGAAACAAGGCCTTCCTATGTAGTTGAGACTAACCTGGAATTTACTATGTAGCCCAGGCTGGTCTTGAACTACAGCGATCCTCCTGCCTTAGCCTCCCGAGTGCTGGGATTACAGGTGTGCGCCACCACGCCTGGCTATCCTGTGGCTGTTTTTATGGATCTCAAGGAACCTGCATAGGAGGGAGAGATGAGGAACAGTGCAGAGGATCTGTCTGTACACTGGAGACCAAAGTATTTGGTCAAAAGTCTGGAGCTCACTGCAGTGTCCTGCCGGAATCTGTATCAGGAGGTGGATGGGTCTGTGACTGAAGGCTGAAGAGTCTACACTGGAAGGCAGGAGATGACATCCAAGGTGAAAATGGGAGCTCCTCTGAAGGAACTGAAGCAGCTGCACCCTGGTCAGGTGGATAGTAGACTTCAGCAGGCATGCTGCCTTGGCTGGGGTGTAGGGGGTAATGGGCAGTCCCTGCCTCCCCTGGCATCTCACCTCCAGCCTGAGGACACTGCGTGAAAACCTGGAATAGGAGGCAGTTGATCTGGTGGCTGTGTTTTGAATGCCTACCATGTGCCATGCCTGGTGCCATCACAGGCAGGGTGGTGCTTTGCCTTTAGGTACTCAGCCACAGAGAAGGACACACCTGTTGTAATGGTCTAAAGATGTGGGTGGCCAGTTCACCATGCAGCAGGTGGGACACACAGATGCACTTGAAGGAAGGGTAGAATTTAGATGGTCTGGTGGGGAGAAGACAGTTTCAAACCAGCAGAGCTGTGTGAGGGGCCAGTGTTGGGAAGCATGATGGCTTTTAAGCTCTGAAGTCTATTGCTCAGTTGGGATGTTGCTACTTAATAGCTCTGTGCCCTGGGGCGAGTCACCTAAGCCACCTAAGTCTGGCCTTCTCCTGTGGAAGATGAGAGTGCTCATGGTTCCCCCCTCAGCAGACATAGTGATGATTGTAGGAGGTAGTGACTCGTGAGTTATACACACAGGGCGGTAGGAAGGTTG